TGAAAGTAGTGTAAAACCATTGCATCATTTGGTTTAAGGATCAAATGAAATGTGTGCTGTGAATAGCACTAATAAGTTTATGTTTTCTAGAATTTTTTTTAGAGATTTTTTCAGTGTTAAGAGGGTGGGGTCTCTCTGTTCATTCTGACTTGACTTGGTGCAGATCTCTATTTGAAGAAGTAGAGTAAGGGGCTTACCGATAGAGTTCTGAGTTACAGAATTATTGAATTGAGTTCTGAGTTACGGAGTTTTTAAGATATTGAGTTGTATCCTTGAGTTTTAAGACTAAGGAGCTGAAGAGTGAAGAAAAAACTCTCCTTCTTGACTAGTTTGATCTTAGTTGAGTTATTGAGCTCTTTTCTTTTCGTTTATAAATAGCTAAAGACCATTGTGGATAATAGATGGTACTTCCTCAGAGGGTGGCTATTCCCCTTTAGGCTTCCCCACCATGTCGATGGGTGGCCCGACCGAAAATTTGGTTTTTAGCTGAATCAAACGGGGTGGCCTGTGGGAGCTTAAATGACAACCACCAGCTGTTGGCATTGTGCTGGGTGCTATGGTAAATGAGGTGGTTTTGTCTGCTATTATTGCGTTGCTAAATATTGTGAGCGGTGGTTCGTAATGCTTATCCTCTTATGAAGTCTATTCTGTCCGTACGATTCGCGTAAATGCAAAATGCAAAATGCAAAATTTAGTGGACCTACAAATATCTTTTGGATGAAAACAAGTCGGCCAATACCAAAGTTACTGAATGAGGGTCCCTTGTTTTGGTGTGTAATTGAATGAACGCAACCAAATTATTGAAATATACTTTCCATTGCCAGAAACGTGCTTTTGCAAATTCGACTACTTACCAGTAGCACTAGATCTCGGAATTCGGTTGGAACACGTGGTCAACAAATTTCACTATGTTCTCCATGTTAAGATTTTGCACATTTGAACAAAGTGTTAGATGCATATGGCCTCTTCTTCAACGGTGGGGAAGGCGATCTTGGGTACTTCTAAGCACAAGTCAATCAACAGTTGAAGATATTATGAGCGTGGAAGAGACAATAGATATGAGTAAAATAGAATTCATGTTGAAGAGAAAATATCAAGGAATCTATCGTGGAAAGTGTAAAATTGCATTACCTTTAGAAGATACATAATGTGAGCTTATATAGTGGAAGGAAAGAGGCGATATCCATTTAATATCTGACATATGGCCTCATCCCAAGGACTCACAGCTCAAACCTAACAGGTGTCAATTTCAAATGTCATAGGTCTATTGTGACCTTAAATAAATTGAAAATATGTCCCTCGTATTTGGGACTACCACTTGAAAAGTCGATCGAAAGTGTAGCTCTAAGCTGTCATATCTATCAGACGTATGGAAGATCTTTAAGTTGAAGCGACATCATGGAATATGCTTTGTAAATCAAATGCATATTGCTTTCAAAATACACAGTAACAACTCTTGCCACCTAGTTTCGGACTTGGAGGTTTGATGGTTGTCGGTCACTTCCGCTGAGCTGCCAAGCCACTTCGGCCTTTTGGCTAATCGCGTCAGCTAGGCTTAGGAAGATAAAGTGACATGGAGTATAGGTCAAAGATGACTTGCTATTTCTTAACTCACCGTCAAGTGGCCTACCTCATTAGACATGGAGTAACAGTACTGTCACATTCACATATGATTTGATACCGTATTTGTATATGTTAGAGCAACTTAGACCATGTTACCTGATATATATAGTTTGTTTCTAATGTGTTTTTTTTTTT